CCCCGGGCGGGGGGCAGGGGTCAGGGGCCTCGTGCCCCGGGAGGGGAGCAAGGGGCAGGGGGCTCGTGCCCCGGGAGGGGAGCAAGGGGCAGGGGGCACGGGCCCCGGGCGGCCGGCCGGGCCGGGCGGGGCGGGGCGGGCGCGGGAGCCGCCCCCTCCGTAAGTCTCCGAGGAGCTCCGCGAGGAGGCGGAGTGCCTTGCAGTTAAAAGGCGCGCCGGAGGCGGCAGGGGCTGCAGGCCCGCAGCGTCCGGCGCGCTCGGCTCTCCGCGACTCCCAGCCAGCGCCCGGGAGGCCGGCCCGCGACCAGCCGCCACCCGCCCGAGCGCCCCGCCGTCCTCCCTCGCAGGTGAGCCGTCGGACCGCGAATCCGGATCTCAGCTGGAGGGCCGGCGCCCGGTTCCCACCGCGCTAGGGGGGCCCGGACGGCCAGGGGCTGCGGGACTCCGCGCAGGCGGGACGCGGCCGCGGGCTGCGGGACCCGGCGCGGGGGGCACCCGAGTCCTTGGGCTGGACCCCGCACGCGTTGAGATCCTCGAGCCGTCTCTGGGTGGGACGGCGGGCCTGGCGTGGAGGGCAGGTGGTGAGAGGGAACCTCAGGAAAGTTACTCGGGCCGAGTTCTGAAATCCCAACCCGCTGCTCCGCCGGATTCGCCGCGACGCGACGCGGAAGGGGACGTGGTGCCCGAGCCCAGAGGCGGTCGTCGGGTCGGGCGGGGACGCGGTGACAGAGTCCGGGAGGTGGTCGCCGGTCGGGCGCCAGGCGCGGGGAGGGGAGAGAGCCGGGGGCAGCGCCCCCCAATGTGACTGTGAGAGGGTGACCAGGATTCCTTCGGGGAAATTCTCGCACGGCTGCCCGGTCCTTTAATTGGCCTAAGGCTTAGCTTAGAAAAAAGGGTTTCGTTGGTGAAGCAGGAAGCCCTCGCTGGAGGAAGCCGACCTTTACCTGCCGGCGCCTCTGCAGGAAAGGCTCCAGGGGGAGGTCCGTGCGGACGGCGCTTGCCGCTGCCAACAGGGGCTCGCAGCCCAAGTCCGAGTCAAGATTCTTTCGCCTATCTTTTTTCTCCAAATTGAAAACGTCGTTTGCCGGTGATATATTCCAGCTGGAAGGAGAGCTTTAGGACACTTGCTTACCGAGGAGGCCGTGCGCACTGAGAGCCGTGGCCTTAGCGCGGTAGCAGGTAGCATAGGCCTGCCGTGGCCTTCGCGGGGAGAACGCCTTCAGCAGCAGTGCCTCCAGCTTCCCAACAGCTGGACACGAAGACCAGCGACTCTGGCGCTGTGTGGTGTCAGCCATGTCCCCATTTGCCAAACTAGTGTGCAAAGCCCACCACGGGTGGACTCCCGCGAGAGTGGCGGCAGCACTAGTAAAAGTCCCCCGCCAAAAAAGCAGGCTGTACAAGAAGCTAAGGGGGGCAAAGAAGACCTGCTGCCTTTTCTGGAGCCTGGTGATTCACCCAGTGCCTTCCCTGCAGAGCAGAACCAGCTCCTCCACTGGCTGCTGGCAGGGCTCCAAACAATTGTTGGTGAAGTGGGCCAGGCAGCAGCCTATCTGCGACCCATGTACCAGGTCAGGAAAGACAGGACAGCAGCCACTTCTGATTTGAGTATTGACAGTTTTATCCTGCTAGTTAGCCCATCTGGGCCTGTTACCCCATCTCATTTGGGATCAAATTTTAATTTGCTCTTTTTCCCAAAAGGATCTTCCCAAGGTAGTTGTGGCTCAACCAAGAGCTTTCAAAAACAACAGTAATACAGGGCTTACTGCAGACTGCTTTTTTCTTAACTGATGGTGATCAGACTGGTTTCTGGCACAGTGTGGGACCAGTATTTAGGACTAGGGAGGAGGGCAAATGCGTCAGACCGGCCCGGACTTTTAGTCAGTTGTACTGATGGAACCCATGGCAGTCTATTTCCGCGAGTGTCCTGTTTTCCACTAAGTGCTGATGGAAAACTGAAATGTCTAATTTCATACAATGGCTTAGTTAAAATACAGACTTAGGTTGTGCTGTTGAGGACCTCCCAGACAGTCTGCATTCGAAGGCTTGGGGCTGAACCGGGACTAAAACAGGTTTTTCCAATGATGTTTCTCTTTTTCAAGTTGAGAAAGGCTAAATGTTTCCTTGAGTGTATTTCAGTCTTATGTAACTTCTGTGTCCATGACTCTTCAGCATGTCTCTGCTGCCGCCCCTGACCAAGGTGTGGCACTGGATGGTTTCTTGATGCCCTGATGAGGCACAGTGATGGCCATTCATCCCAGCCTGCTTAGGAAGTCCACTGGGATATAGGACCCAACTTGCTCAAAATGAGGACAGCATTATGCTTTTAAGTAAGAAGGAAGATTCACCACTAGCTTAAATGTGCTAGAAAACAAATTACTCATCAGGATGGGAGAAGGGGGTTGATTGACTCAGATGAAGTGTAGCTATGAACAAACGAAGACAGACACGGCCTGGGTTGAAGAGAAGGCCACTGGCCCGTAGGAGACCGATCCACATGCTTCTCCAAATCCTCTTCAATAAGTAGTACATTACCCCAGCAAGCTTCAGTTCTGACCTCCAATGTAGTGGCATTAACTTACAGGGCCAGTAATTAGGGAATCGCTGAGTTAAATTTTCCGCCATTTTTCATAATGTGCCTCTTTAGAAACACTTTTAAATTAAAGCCATAGCCACAATAAAAATGCTCAGTTGCAACTTATCAAAACAGATATCCCTGAGTACTAACCTGGCAATCACTCACAGCATGACAATAAAGACTACCGATCCATACACAAAACCTAGGCAAAAATCCATCCTTTTCATTCTAACTGGGAGTGCCTCCATTTTAAGCTTGACCATTGGTAACAGTCATGTCACCGCTACATCCCAAGTCTGTGAAAATTCATTGAAATATTTTAAGTGAAGTGGCTCTGCAGGAAGACTGCTGGTTGGCCTTGAAGGCAGTGCCAGTCTCAGCTATCAGTCCCAGTGGCACCACCCAGAACTCAAGGCTCACCAGCAGATGCAGCTGGTGCCTGCCATCGCTTGTGCAGAGTGGGCAAGACCCAGGGGGGTCCTGTGGAGGGCTCATTCATCACTACTCAGTGCCTTTAGGTTAGCAAGTTCCTGTGCTTGTGGTGCCCCCCAACCCCCCACCCCCCACCCCACACAAGTGCTTATGTGCTGAAGATTGGGTGAATTACTCGGTGAAAAAGTACGCTTTACTAGAGAACACGTTCAATGTACGTCCAATCCAATGGCAAACTAAGGTGGTTTTGTTTTTACCTTTGTTGGTGAGGTTGTGTAAGAGCTGGTGTTTGCTCAGGAAGAGATTTAAGAGAACTCTCCCAGATTCTGTCCTGACTACACACTCCCTTACTGTGTTCATTTTGTCTTTTCCAGTGCAAACTGCCCAGAAGAAAAAATGGATTGGAGCGCACTGCAGACTGTTCTGGGAGGTGTCAATAAATACTCCACCAGTATTGGAAAAATCTGGCTCACCGTCCTCTTCATTTTTCGCATTATGATCCTCGTTGTAGCTGCAAAGGAAGTGTGGGGAGATGAGCAAGCCGATTTTGTCTGTAACACTCTACAGCCTGGGTGCAAAAATGTGTGCTATGACCACTACTTCCCCATATCACACATCCGACTCTGGGCTCTTCAGCTGATCTTTGTGTCCACACCGGCTCTCCTGGTGGCCATGCATGTTGCCTACCAGAGACATGAGAAGAAAAGGAAGTTCATTAAGGGAGAGATGAAAAGTGAATTTAAGGACGTTGAAGAGATCAAAACCCAGAAGGTCCGTATAGAAGGGTCGTTATGGTGGACCTACACCAGCAGCATCTTCTTCCGGGTCATCTTCGAAGCTGCCTTCATGTATGTCTTCTATGTCATGTATGACGGGTTCTCCATGCAGCGTTTGGTGAAATGTAATGCATGGCCCTGTCCCAACACAGTGGACTGCTTTGTTTCCAGGCCCACGGAAAAAACTGTCTTTACAGTTTTCATGATTGCAGTGTCTGGAATTTGCATATTGCTGAATGTCACTGAGTTGTGTTATTTGCTAATTAGATACTGTTCAGCAAAGTCCAAAAAACCAGTTTAACACATAACCCAGCTACTAGTTAAAACACAGCATGAAAAGGAGCAGGCAGTCTGTGCTTAGCTGTCAAGGCACAGCCACCAGCACTTCCCGAGATAAAGATTCTTACCTTAAAGCAACCGTTTGAAATCCCTGTAGATTCCAAGTAAAACTCCAGATGCCTCCAAAGGAGCTCTACTCTCCTAAAGCTTCAAAACAAAGCATTAATTCTATGCCCACACTTATTTTTACTAAAAGTAGTGCCAATGAAGCCCCATGCTGGTGGGGTTATGGGTGTTAGTACTTTCACATTTGAAACAACCAATGTGGGTGTTTTTCTCTTTCTCTAAGGAAAGAGAGACACCAGGTCCCGGGAGGATCCCGCCAAGGTTTGGTTGGTCTCCTTGTTCCCTTTGCCGTTTTCCCAAACTGAGGATAAACATAGAGAATCTCATTTCTTCTACTTGCTTTGGAAGTTTTAATCTGTAATGATGGACAAGGTTACCTAATGCTTCAAACTGTTATACTTTTTTTAAGTGAAAACTTTAAGATACATTCTTTTGATCTACAAGATGTTCTAATAACCTTTATATGTTCCTCCTATTTCAAAGACTAAATGGTGTAAAATTAGGAACTATCATTGAATTTAAAATATGGCCTCCTAGTTACAAACAATTTGGAATTCCCCAAGATGCTGTCCACTGTGGTATGTAGCACATAAAAGAATTTCAACCTCTCTCAAGTGAGACAAACTAGAGATTCTCAGTGAAAGCTTACACTAACAAGTGGCCTCATTTCAAAAATTTAGGTAATTTTGCATGAGAAATACAGACTGGATGTACCACAGCTACTACCAAGTACAGACTGGCTCAAGACCCCCTTTTTACCTAACAATGTTTGCTAGTAAATGGCAGGAACACTGATCTCAGGAGATTGCTTGGGAGTATTTTATTGCCACAGTACAATTTAATGGTGCAGAACAATGGGGGGTGCGGGGTAGTTGCTATGTTTAAAGAACCGATGGAAAGGCTGGACTCTCCCCTAAATTCTGATGATTAAAAATGAGTTTTATCTACTTCAAAAGTTGTTTGCTTCCCTCTTCAGCATCCAATTGTTTTAAGTGAAAATAGAATTAATAGATTTTTAAAAATAGAAAGTAGAGTTTAGATAAGTAGCAATTCTATAAGAATATTGAACCCTAATATTATCATTATGCTTGACATGGTTTCCAGAAAATGGTACTTAACACACTTCAGTGAGGGTACACGTCTTTCTGTTGCCGAGAATAGCATTGTAAAAACATTTTGTAATAATAAATAATAGCCTTAATTACATGATTGTAACTAAAATAATTTTGTAATGTCCCAAATGTCATTTAAAATATTAAAATATAATTAATTCATATAATAGTTGTTTAAAATCTATTACAGTTTTAATAGAACAGCAGATTTTAATTTCATCTATAGCCAATTTTGTATACGTATGTAATATTTTACATATTGTAAAACCAAAACGGGTAGGTCACCAGGGTGTATGCCCGCCACTCTGAGCTTCTTCTGCTCCCATTATAGAAAGTTCTCTGTCCCCAGGAAGACTGACAGGGAAGGGAAAATGAAAGAGTGTGTCTGCCCTTAACCCATGCTCACCTATAGCAGGCTTTTGATGAACACAGGCGCAGTGTGGCGCACGGATTTGTGTGCGGCTTGGAGAATGCTGAGTCTGGTTCACGTGACCAGATTGGCTCCTGGAAGAATCATGGAAGCTGACACTTTAAAATGTTATTCAGTTGAAACCACAATGTTGTTCATGTGAAACCTTTATAAGATTGTATGTCAATGATATTTTAATTTTTTTACAAAATGTTATTCGAAGTGAAGGTTGGCTGAGGCGTAAGAAAAATTCTATAAGGTGTCTTTCCTATGGGATTTTCTTTCTATGTATTGTATGTAACCAAAGGTGGTCTTATGAAACTGCTTTTTATTCTTTGGTGCCCACTTCCATGGGAAATAAACCTGATGGGTCAGCCTGTCCCTGTGTGTGTGTGTGACTGCCAGCCACCCCCAGCTCACCTACCTGGCCCTCCGGCACTGCCCCTCACCCCCACCACACCCGGGACAGCCAACAACAGCACATCCTTCCCAGGAGCCTTGGCCCAAGGACTACACAGCATTCGACACATTAATAAAGATGAGTATTTTTTGGAGAACCACATGCTTTTTCAATGGATTTTAAAGGACAAAAACCAGTCAATTTTCCTCCAGATGATAGAATAGGAGTAAGAAACAGCCCCTAGCTACCTTCCAAAATGCTCTGCACATAGCTTGTTAAAACAGCACATGATTTTGTAAATGCATATGTCTAACTCTTACAAGCTATGAAGATTGTAAAGGTTCAAAAGACCAGGTCAAAATAAGTACAGACTGCTACCAACCACTTGTTAAGAACTTTCAGAAAGGTTTGGCCACATCCCTGAAATTAGAGCTTGAACTCTGAAAATAGTAATCCTGAATATATGTTTATCAAGTCATCAACTTACAATCTCTACTAGGTAAGAAAAGCTCTTATTTTTTTTTTTTTTTTAAGATTCTACCAAAGAGCTCTGTGTGATGTTGGCCACATCAAGTCCTCACACAGGCTGCCTTCAGAAGGGGCCTGGTGCTGGCTGGACATCCGTGTGTGTGATTCTGGATGCCCAGGACACAGTGGGTACAGCCCAGCTGCTGATTCTCCTTTGCATGAGGTTTATTAGTAAATTGGGAGCCGTGATCCCAAACAACTTTCCCTTGAATGTGCAACTGTCAAAAGGTGGGTCTCCGTTGGTATGACGAGATCAGGGTCTACTCAGGGGGACAGCTGTAGACCTCTCCAGGGTGGGCTGGGCCCAAGCTGTCTGTCATTGCTGAGGCTGACCTAATGGTCAGCTGGAGGGCGGCAGGTAAAGGGTTGAGAAGGGTCTGTGGTGATGGACAGGAACTCATTTATTTCTCCAGACTTCATTTTCTTTGTCTCAAAATGAGCTTACTGAATACTCCCCAAGGTTAATGACAAATAAGATGATTTATGTAAATGCTCTCTACATAGTAAAGCACTAAGTAAAATATTTCCATCATCTGTTTTCCTTTAGATAGATCCCAAGCTGGAAAACTGATAGCTGGTATTATGGATAGGAGTAACTCAAGCAAAGCTGGAGAAACTGAAAGGTTGAGAAAAATGCACATTTACACAAAGCCTGAAATAAATGCAACATGGGGAGGAGAGACTAGCTACATAAGGTGGGAGAGGAATGGGTGGTTGCAAATACATCAACGCAAAAAGATAAAGTGAGGACAACTATGTTTACTCTGTAATTAGAGAAAAAGCAACAGTTAATAAAGAAGGATTCCATTCATCTAGTTAGGGCCTCTAGAATCTTTACACACACGTTAACACACCTAAATGCAGGTATGTGATCTCATTCAGTCCTCACACAGCTCTGCGAAGTGTTGGGCCTTCAGAGAGTCATCTTTCTACTGACTGGGTGCTGAAGGGGCAGCTCGGGGGGATGACAAACCACACTCAAAGGACAATAGCAGGTGGTCCTGCGCACAGAATGTGGTCTGGGCTTCTAGACTCCCCTAGCACATTTCATTCCTGAAACAGGTAGCTGACACCACAACTGCTCGTGTTCCCCAAAATCTATCAGGTTGAGGAGGCAGTCCCAACTTTTGGAGGCATTCCACTCCATGCCTTGCACACCTCTACTTTCTCATCTACTCAGCCAATATTTACTGAAAACCAGCTGATTGACAGGAACTAGTGGGCACTGGGACTGTGATCAAAACAAAATCTCTGCCTTCATACTGAAGAGGCCAACTATAAACAAATACTGCAGACAGTATATGCTGCAGACAAGCACAACAGAAAAGTAAAACAGCAAAAGGGAAGAGTGAGGCCATGAAGAGGCAGGTGGTATGGACTGTCCGGGTCCTCTTGAGCCCGGGAAGCATCCATCATGGGCTGAAACGGGTCTGTTTAGAACACCTGCCCTCCAGGGCTGCTCTGCCCTTTGGTGCACACACAGTCAGTCCACATTCTACTTGAGATCCAATTGCAACCCCAACGTTATTTTCCAGCTCCACAGCTCCACATTCCCCATTTGCTCATTCATTCATTGATTCAGTATTAAACAACTACTGTGTGCCAACCTACCAGGTACAGGAAGATAAGAAAGAATAAAACACATTCCCTAATCTCTGGCAGTCAGCTGTGGTAGCTGAGCCAGCAATTTCCAGGCTCCCCTTGAGGAGGAGATATACTCTCTGGCACATCAGGGTTCCTTAGAAGGGAGATGGTACCCAGTACGAAGAACAGCACACCAGCATGGCCATGGATGGGCAACTGGTCTAGATACAGCCTTATTACAAAGTGGTATAATTTTGAGTCAGCCTTTTGATGGCCTTATCGCCTTTCTTCATTTTCAATTAAAAGGCCACCAATGTGCTTTATTTACCTACAGAATGAATATAAAAAGGCATTTGCATTTAAAATTAAATACAGACATATATAAAAAGTCTCAAAGTGAACATCTCACTTCACAGCCCTGCTTGGAACTATGGTTGTAAATATCTTGATGTATCTTTTCAGTCTTTTTCTGTGCAATCACAAATATTTATATACATCTACATGCAAATATACATTACCATTTTTGTTTGCTTTTGTTACATAATTTCTTCTGTGATAGTTTCTCATTTAGTAATACGCCTTAGAATCTTTCCAGGCCAGAATGCATAGGTATAACATTTCTTTTTAACAGATGTACAATATTCTATAGAATGACTGAGTCATGTTATTTAACCATCTCCTTGTTAATGAACAGTTGTATTGTTTCCAATTTTTCACAGTGAATATTCCCCCTCCCTTCTCTTTAAGATCCCCCTGCCTTACCCACTCCTTATCAAACCAGATTTTCCCTTTGTAGTACATGCTGCATGAATTTGTCCAATCTGAATTCAGGACTTCATACCTTCCTTGTTAAATTTCATCTTGCTGATTTTGGCTCATCCCCGTCATCCAGCCAGATTTTTTTTTTTGAGCTCTGTATTCAGTTTATTAGCAGTTCCCTCCAACTTTATGCCATCTATCAGTTTCATGAGCCTGCTTTCTCTGTAGTCAGTTAAGCCAATAAAAATGTTGAATCTGGAATGTCACCAAGGATTTTCTTAGAGTTTGGCATCAGTTCCTTTACCAACATCATCTGAGTTTGGAGTTTTAAGGCTAAATTTACTTAGCTACATCCAGTTCACAAGTTTTCATCTTAATAGTAAGGATAGTATGCCAAACTTTGTGAAGTATCTTACATTATGATTTCATTAATCATTTCAAAAACACATTTGGTTAGCGCCTCACTTCTGGGCCCCTGACAAACACAAAGATAATTTTAAAAAGTCACAGTGTAAAGGGAGGGAGAAGGGGGGAAAGAAAGGGGGCCTTAAGATTAGCATGTATAATGTAGTGGGGGCACGGGGAGGGCTGTGCAACACAGAGAAGACAAGTAGTGATTCTACAGCATCTCACTACACTGATGGACAGTGACTGTATGGGGTTTGTGGGGGGTACTTCGTGATGGGGGGAGTCTAGTAGTCTAGTAAATATAATGTCCCTCATGTAATTGTAGATTAATGATACCAAAATTAAAAAAATGCCAAAACAAACAACAAAAAAAGTCACAGTGTAAAGGCAGATATGTATAAGGTGGGTTACTTTACAAATGAAAGATGGCAGGCTTTTGCCAGGAAAAGACCTGAAACTAAGAGGTAGTCTGGCCTTTTCCATTTCTTTGAGAAGTTAAATAACGCATCAAGGGGACCCCTTCTGCCGTCTGATAGAACAGGCTGAGCGGTTTCTCAGAAGCCCTTAGCCTAGACCGGGCCACGCAGGGACGTGAACGCCTCTCTCTGCTGCCATCTGCTGTCGACGTGGATAACTGCAGGGGCTGAGTCCTTGGCGCTTCCCTCAGCCGCGGCCGCCGGACCAGCCGTCAGTTTCCTTAAGAGACCCGTACACCTACCAGCCACAATAACCCCTCCAGAAAAACCTCATCGCTTCCATTGCCCCGGAGTTTATGTTTCCGATTTGTTGTCTTGTTACGGTAACCATAAAAAATTAAAAACAAAAATTCACACATAAACATACACTATTTTCTGTGCTCTCATGGTTGTAGTTACGGCTTTTCACAAAGTTCTTATTTGGGTGACTTCCTCAGGTTTCTCTAAGTATTCTGCACTCGGATTTTGAAATTTTACCATCTAGAACCATAAATGCTATTTTCTACTCAACACTCCTCTGTTTGTTGGGGGATGGGGCGGTGGGGGCAGCGAATCTCTTGGTTTTTTTTTAATTTTTAATCGTCATCTAATATTAACACAGCAGCTCTTTAAAGATTCACCCTTTGCGTTTTACTTATGCTATATTGTTAGGAGGGGGAAAATCACCTAATATATTCCACTGAAATTTCTCAGGCTCTTTAATAATTGTGATGTCTTTTCAAAACCTGAAAAAATAGGGTTAGGCCAATTTTGAGTCACAATAACTAAAGACAGCATGACTTTTTCCCATTTGCCCTGCTTTTTCCAAAAGAGAAAGATCTCAATTTGAGCAGATATTTGAAAACCCATGTCCACAGCATTATTCTCAATAGACAAAAGTTAGAAGCAGCCCAAGTGTCAATTGCCAGGTGAATAGATAAACAAAACATGATATATAAGTATAATGAAATATTATTAGGCCTAAAAAGGAAGGAAATTCCGGCATATGCTACAATATGGACAAGCCTTGAGAACATTAAGCCAGTCACAAAAGGACTGTGAATAAGCCAGTCACAAAAGGACAAATACTGCATGACTTCACTTACATGAGGCCCTCACAGCAGCAGAATTCACAGAGACAGAAAACAGAAATGTGGCTGCCAGAGCCTGAGGGAAGGGGAAGTAATTGTTTAATAGGTACAAAGCTTTAATGGGATATAAAAAAGTTGTGGACATAGATGAAGGT